ATGCTCAATGGATTGAGGTGTCAAATAGGAATAACAGAATTCCGCTTAACATGGTTAGATCTATGAATAGTTATGCTACATTATCTCTTTCATTTAAAAGTTTAGCGTTAATGATATCGATGCGCATTATAAACTGCATTCCATCTTAGTCTGTCTCAAGGATACCATTTGAGCTGCGTTTTTGACTAAATCTTAGTTTGAATCACATGCACATATGGGTAGTCTTGCACATGTGCGCTTGATAGAGACAAGTAAATTGGAAACAGATCATACGCATGATAGATTTGATAGCTACTCTAAATGCACTAGGATGGATTATTTTATGATCTCAATGATAAAAGTTGATTGTTTACACTCACTGTTTATCTATAGGAGGATTATATTATGAATTACATACCTAGTAGCATAAGGTTAGAGAATATGGTATGAGTACCAAATGTACCACATGTGAACACACTTATTATAGAGATTGAGAATAATATATGAATTCCCTATTGATGCGTCAGCATCATCTAGTACAAAGATTCTTGCATCGGTACATTGATGTAGTGGGAGGATTATCATCCAATCCGACAGAAACATGTTTTTAGGTGAGACCATTATGGACATCCCTGTTAAACATGAGTTGGACCCAGTAAGCTACACGGAAGCGTGAACCGATATGGATACAGATCGTTTTGGCGAGTTACTATGAAATCAGAGTTGGAATCTATGTATTCTAATAAATTCTGGGATCTTGTAGAACTTTCTAGTAGGGTGATACCTATGGAAGACAAGTTAATCTACAAAAAGATACCAGAAGATTTCTTAGTGAATAAATCATGAGTGTACAAGGGAATGTCATTATTTTTCTGATCCTATATATATTGATGACATCCTACTCATTTTGAATGATGTGGAAGTTTTGTCATCAATAAAAAGGTAGTTGTTCAATTACTTTTAAATGAAGGATTTTCAAGATGTAAGCTATATTCCTATGATCAAACTTTTGCAAGATCAGGTTAAAAGGAAAATAGGCTTATCTTAATAATCCTACATTGATAAAGTTTTGACCAGGTTTGGTATGCATAACTCAAAGAATGAGTTTTTGTTTTATTGATATGGATTGCTCTCTCTAGTACGTAGTTTTCCAAGACTAGCAGAGGAGATTGAGCAAATGAGACTGGAACTATATGATTTGGCATATGGGAGTCTTATATATGCTATGGTCTATACCAAACAGGACATCCGCTACATTATAGGGATAGTCAGATGATATCAGTCCAATCCTGGACTTGATAACTGGTCTGTTGTGAAAAATATCATTAAGTATCTAAGGAGAATCAATGATATCATACTCATTTATGGATGTGATGATATGGTTTTAGTCAAGTATGCTAGTTCTGATTTTCAATCAGAAGTAGATACTATGAGGTTCATGACTTAATGTATGTTCACTCAATGGAAGGGAAATCAGTTAGTAGATTGTTAAGCAGATTTCAACTGCTGACTTAAACCTGCAAGTGGAGTACATTGCAACCTTAAAGGCGGTAATAAGCTTTTTTGGTTTGATCTCACTGATTTAGAGGTTGTGGAGCACATTAGTCTGCCTATAGAGCTATATTGCGACAATAGTGCAGAAGTAGTCCAAACCAATGACCCAAGGTTCCATAAAGGAACAAGATACACTGAGAGGAAGTATTATGTTCTACATGATATTATCCGGCAAGAAAATGTACTTGTGGCTAAAATATTGCATACACAACTTTATTGATCTATTAACAAAGGTGTCATTGATTAATAATTTTGATCGTCATCTGGATAACATTGGAGTTATATGCAATTTGAATTGGTTATGAGGACAAACGGGAGCTGTTGGGATTTATATGCCCTGGTATAGCAAATTCCTATTTGGATTAAAGTGACATAAGTTCATGACGTTTCTGAAATATTTATATTTTATACAATTGGTGAATTCAATATATTATGTTTCGATTCATTATAGAATTGATAGTGTCTACTTGATCACAAGAGATATTTATATATGTATGTGATAGCGATCAATAAATGAATATAAATAGTAATCATAAATGGTTCATAGTCGGTAATTATGGATGAACTCATAATTAATTAAGGCTTGAACTGGATCCGCGTTAGGTTGAGATATATTGCGAAAGCCGTCGTATGCAATTACTCCCTATCACTGTCATGGCATTTGACTCTTAAGTATGAGAAAATTATAAACTCTTTTATTAATTAATAATTACTTTAATTTGTTCGGCGGATTTTTCGAGATCCTTAGACCGACACTTTGGGTAGTTATATAATTAATAGTTAGAGTGTTATATTTTTAATATTTGTATCATTGCTACTTATATTTATTTTGTATTGATTATGGTTGATCACAAAGTAAATTCGAAGGCCTTTGTGTGTTTTTAGACAAAATGATTTATTATATATTTATTTATTTAAATTATTATTTTTGTCAAACAAATGTTGTATTGTGATCGAACCAGAAATAATCAAAGGTACCAAAATAAATATATTAATTAAGTAGTCAGATTGATGGCTTTATTTATCCGATAACTAATTATGCATAGAGGGGTCAAAGTGCAATATTGACTTAGAGGTTATTTATTATTTAATTGGAGTTCAATTAATTTCTTTTAGTGGAGTATAAATTAATTTATGAATTAATTGAATTGGGTCCATGAATCGGGCCAATTATTAATTCATTATAGCCAATAAAATAATAAGCCCAAATGATTCTCACTCATAGCCCAACTTGATATTGGAATCATATTAGATTTGAGACATGTGAATTAGAGATTGAGAAAAATTTATTGTTTCCTTTTCCTTATCTTTATGTTGCTTAGATATATACATGGTTTATGTATATTTTAGGAGTGATTTTTATGAGAAGGAAAAAGGAATATATTTTCTCTCTCTAGAAAATTAGGGTCTATGTTCTCATCTAATGGAGGCTTCCACAAGTCTAATTTTCCAAGGTCATTCATGGAGGCTTATAAGTGATTTCTAAAGGCAAAACAATTACCAAGAAGATGGAGATCCAAGGAGAAGACATCTTGCTAAGGAATCTACAATAAGTGAGAGAACATTCACTTTAGAGGAAAGATTTAAAGGTTTACTCAGACCTTTGATGTAAGTATTCAATCCATTAATTGAATAATACATCATATTTTATTTTTATATAAAACTTGTCTCTATGTGATGAATCAAGATTTATGAATCAAAATCACTCAAAAAGTTTTAAAACTTGCATATTTCCCAACACAAACAACACTCATCGTCTATTTTGATGCATGCCTATTAAGCTATAAAGCTGAACAAGTCAACACACACAGGGTAGTTCAATAAACAACTCGAAGTCCATTTTGTGCCACTTCCTTCCTCATCGAGGAACAATAGCAGTTGCAAAATCCCAGCTGCCATTCTACTCAATTTTAAGGAAAAGTGAATATGTGGAGCAGACATCGATTAAAGAGTAGTAAATTAAAGAGAAGCTTGAAATTTATGCTTCATTTTTTGTGATTATATCAAGTTTATAGGTCAAACGAATCAAAGCAGTTTAAAGTCCAAGTGAAACAAGACATCCAAGTCTAGCAGCTGAAAGATGCTTTCAGTGAAACTAAGCAGAGGTCTATGTACCATGCGAAGAATTGAAATGAGCAATGATTGCTTACTTTCAGCACAAGGAGACCCCAAAATGCTGCGACGTTGAATGAAAACAGTCCATCTAATGGGTGCAAACCGTGCAAATTAAAAAGATTGAACTCATTGCCAAGTATTTATTTAGATTCTAAATAAGTATTAAGGCAAATATTCTTTAACAAAAATTACTTAGAACAAAGAACACCACAACATAAAGTAGGGGAAAACTTCTGGTTCCAACCAAAACCTATGCAGATAATAATATGATCTATCCCAAAAACGCCTACGGTACCATTCCAAATTTCCATCTCAACACTACAATTGCCCTGGTAAGTAAATATCTACGCCATCAAAAGCAAAAGAAATACTACTCACCTTCTTTCTTCAAAAAGATATTAAGCCAATCCCTTAAGAACCTGTAGGGAGAGGAATGTGGTTTAGAATTTAACCCTTGAAGTCAACTTGGATCATTTGAAAGACTTTACAATGTGATTAATACATTTTTATAAAAAATAAAAAAAAAAAAAAAAAAAAGAACTTTACAATGTGGAGTTGGTCTTCCCTGAAATTCACAGACGGAGTTCAATCACATAAATCCACATAGTAGAAACAACATTTAAACACTTTTGAATCCTAATTCCACTAATTCTAGCTGCACAATATAGGACCATTTTTCCATTGGTTATAAACTATAAAAAATAAAAAGTAATAATAATAATAATAATAATTGAAAGAAAGTACTATTTCTTGTTAATTTTCCCATGCGGAGGACTACAGAGTACAGAAGGTTGTGGGATAAAAAGGCCACTGAGGTATATTAGAACTGTATAATATACAAAAAGGAAGTGGCACTACATTTCAGCTATATATAAAGAACACCATTGACATCAAAGTGAAGGTGCCAAAGCAATTGGCAGTTAAGCAGCAATCAAAACAAAGTGTTGTACGCTATATGAACCTTCAAGCAATGGAATGGTAAATTTTAACTTTCTATTTTTAAACGTAGTAATGGCTGATTTTAGTGATTTGCGGAGTATAATTTAAAAACATAATTTTTTAATCCTATAAAAAAAAAAAAATACCGCCAAAAACTTTTTTATTTTATTTTTTAAAACCGCCAATAACTTTCCCACGTCTTTTTCGACCTTTTATTCTCTGTCTACGAGAAAGCACAGTCCGAGTGCTCTCTGTGCCATCGATTAAAGAACAATCGACGGATCATATCCACTTCACGCATTAAACGCGGATAGTCATTCTCAGCCGTACAATGACAACAAAAACCAACGACCACGATTAAACCAACGATAGAATTCAAAAATTCCCACTATCCATAAATACCAAACCAACACCATACACACCCTAAATCGCGTCAGTTCTTCCTCTCAATTCGAAACCCTAGAAATATCAATCGGTGCAGGAGGTCTGAAAATGTCAGGTCGTGGAAAGGGAGGGAAGGGTTTGGGCAAGGGAGGTGCGAAGAGGCACAGGAAGGTGTTGAGGGACAACATTCAGGGGATCACAAAGCCTGCGATTCGTAGATTGGCTAGAAGAGGTGGTGTGAAGAGGATTTCTGGGCTGATCTATGAGGAGACTCGTGGTGTTCTCAAGATTTTCCTCGAAAATGTGATTCGTGATGCTGTGACCTACACGGAGCACGCGAGGAGGAAGACGGTGACGGCCATGGATGTGGTGTATGCTCTCAAAAGGCAGGGAAGGACTCTCTATGGGTTTGGTGGGTAGTCTCTGTTTTAGGGCTTTTGATCTATCGTTGTAGCTCTGTTTATATTTCCTTTGAATTGCTCTGTTATTAGAGGTTTTAATGTTTTGCAATTCACATTTTATATTCGAAGCTATGGATGTTCTATTTTGTTGGGAATTTTTTTTTAATAATTATTGAACTCAATTTCCTTGGTGGAATAATTAATCGAAGGAGAAGGCACAGTTTAAGTTTTAAGATTTTTAAATGGAAAATGGCAGATAATTGTTTGTGGTTTTGAATTTATTTTGATTTCCATTTCTGAGATACATTTTCTCTTCTCTGCAACCAAACACACTGGGGGCGTTTATATACGCGCTTTTTTTATTTTTTTATTTTATAAACTTAAGTTAATTGACGTTAATCTTTCATTAGGTTTCAGTTAAAACATTGATTGTTGTATCTTATCATAGCCTATGACTCCTCTTCAACATGATTTGAGTGAAGAAAAAAAATGTATAAAACTGTGTTTGGGATGAATTTATTTATTTATTTAATGCCGCATTGAATTTATTTTAGGAGAGTTGTATTGGCAAAAATGGGGCACAATTATATTTGCATATAAAAGTTACCTCAAATATATAAGTTAGCTAAAGTCTCCTAAAAATAATAGCAATTTTATCGTAATCACCAGCCTTATAATTATAATTGAAAGAAATTTAATCAACATTGGGTGCTTCAAATCTTTACATTTTAGTATTCTGTAGTCAAAATTGGCTCCTTTTTGTAGGCGTGTCCAAAATATCTTTTCTGAGGGGAGGTGGGAAATGGCTATTCCATCAGGATTTGGGATGATAATTGGCTCCCCATCCAATGAACCCCAAACAAAGTCTCCACTCCCTGCATTTCAATGGTTTGACATTGATTTCCGCCCTTCATCATCTCGATCAGGTCATAACTCTTCGAGATATGGAAAATCAAAGATACTCGAAAAAATGTGTTCTTTCTTTGGCAATGTTGCCACCGATTTGTTCTCATGAAGCCTCTCTGCGGAGGTTGAATGTCATTTTTGTGGCATTTGTTGTTCTACTGCCCTTTTTCAGGATTGATTTGGAAATCCTCCCCTCTCAACACTCATTTCAGTTCTGAGGAAAATCGGAGCTGGTGCCATGTGTGGTCCCAATTCATGCTTTCCTGCTCCAGTGGCCCTCATTAACAGATTTATTGCACCTTGGGTGCCTCCATTTACTGGCACGTTTGGGAGGTTTGGCCTCCGGCTCCTCCAAGCTATCAACCTCGATTTGTCTCTTGCCCTTGTTTGATGGTTTTTTTTTTATGTGTCTTGGTAAATTTGCCTTGTTTTAAAATAAAAAAAAAATAGTTCACTTAGGAAAAAATATTAATAATATACTATGACAATAATATACCATAATATAGACAATGTGCCCATTGGACGGCAACAAAAAAATTATTATGGTGACACCTTAATATTAGCCACTGCATGGTTATCTCTTTCTCTTTCTCTTTTTCTTTTTAAATATATATATATTTATTTATTTTAGCACTGGCTTAATTTGTGGTGACCTCATTGACATGTGTACATTATGCATGTTCTGTCAACTTAACTGCTGCCACCTGGCTAAGTTTTTTTTATTTTTATTTTAATTTTTTATTTTTTATTGGTGGCAATCGTATCACATTCAATTGTGTTTTTGATAGTTTTCAAAGTTTGATTAGTAGTAATGGAGGAGCACACTGGGTACAAATCTAACGTACGGTATTAGTTGCACAAAGTGGCTACTCAATAGTCAATACACACATGCACTCGATACTTGAAAGAAGTGGTATGGTGAAGCTAGAAGGAAGGAAAAAAAAAAAAAAAAAAAATACGGGGTCACATACACAGTGTGTATGAATTTGAATTAAACTTCATCATACTAATGACAAATTGGAGAATGCCAAATAAACTTTTAAGAGACTGCCAGACCCAACTCCCAAGCAGTAGTTGGAAAATTCACCATACTAATGAAAAATTGGAAAATGAATTAAAATATGTATATAAGTATATAGTGAAGCTTAAACTTTTTTCTCTCTATATATCAGCAGAAGTTTTGTAATAATTGAGTCAAAAAAAACTGCCAGAGGGAATTAAGCAACATAACATAAGAGTGTTTGGAGCTAGCATGCATCACAAACTGTAAAACTAAAACATATATTATTAAGTACTCATCCTCCTCTTCTATTCAGATCATTTCTTGTCTGGCACCACAGCAGCTTCAGTGGCTTTCAGTACTGCAGGTTCACAGGCTTTCACTGCTGGTTCACCTACAAAAAACACATGGAATTTTTTTTTAAAATTAAGCACGTGAATCAGGAAAATCAAGAAATTAATAAATTACATCTACAAACCACACTGGAAATCTTTGAACAAAATCAGAAAAATAAAGGAACAGGAAAGGAATAATATTTCTATATTTCTATTAGTTGAGAATTAATGACGGATAATAATATGATCTATCCCAAAAACACAAACAGTAGCATTCCAAATTTCCATCTCAACACTGCAATTGCCCAGGTAAATAAATATCTACACCATCAAAAGCATAAGTAGTACTCACCTTCTTTCTTCATCACAACAGAAGACAACCCCTTAAGAGCCTGCAGGTTGATGAATGTGGGTTAGAATTTAACCCTTGAAGTTGACTTACATCATTTGAAAGACTTTACAATGTGATTTATACATCGAAGGAAAAAAAAAAAAAAGGTCTTTACAATGTGGATTTGGTTCTCCCGGAACTACACAGATGGAGTTTAAATCACGTAAATCCATCTAGTAGAGACAACATTTAAACACTTTTCAACTCAACAATCAGCTTAAGACATCCTATTTTCACCAATTCTGCACAATCTAGGACCATTTTTCCATTGGTTATAAATTATAAGAAAATTAATAGAAAGAAAGTACTATTTCTTGTTCATTTTCCCATGCAGAGGACTTAAGGAGATTGTGGAATATATAGGCCACTGAGGTATATTAGAACTGTAATAAACAAAAAATAAATGGCACTTCAAACAGCTAGTTAATCAAAAGAAAGTTGTCCAGAATCAAAATATATTAGCGAGATTGGATTATTCCAGATAATCAAACTAATTAGAATCAGAACATATCTCCAGCAAACAGCTAAATATATGTATAAATACATGTTCCCTCCTAATGAGTGCATCCCAACAACAATCATGTATTAACAAAAGAAGAAAGGATTACATTCTCCACACTATCAAAAACCAATGAAAGAAAGAGGGGATTGCTCCTTAATTTGACAATCCAACAGCAAACCCCGCTACTACTACTACCAGGATAAGGCACTAAAATAGCAAGAGTATATAACTGCCAGAAAATGAAGAGAATTAAAATTATTATAAACATTCTGGTTATTTGTAGTTTCCCTCTTTTCTTTACTTTTAATTATTTACCCAAAAAAAAAAAAAAAGGTTCTAACTATTCCTTCAATAATTTAAACAAACTTTAAGGAGTCTCAAAGTAATCTACCCCTATAATGAAATGTGAAATTTCAATAATTTTGAAGCAATTAAGAGAGTATAATTGAAAGGAAAATGATGGCAAGAAGGGAAAAAAACTTTACTGATACCATCTTCATTTTCCTTTAGAAAATTTATAATGGGAAGGAAATTGATAAAATTTTCATAAATACTTCATTATAAGAGGTGAAATGGTAAAGCAAAATTGTATTTGTTAGAACTTAAAAAGAATAAGAGCAAAACAAATAATGACCAACACATATCTCTGTCTTCCATTTCTTATCAGTTAGCACAATTTTAATTGATTCCAGGGTAGGGAAGCAAATCAACTATATGTCTTTACATCACCTATATGCAGATTTTTCAATGCTTGCAGTACAAAAATTATCAATCACGCTATCGACCTCTTCTTATAGAATGTAATTGCGTATATATAACCATCTGTAATTTGAGAATAACTCTGTAATTTCCTTCTGCATACCTCTCATCAGTCAATCACGTGCATATATGTTCTATTGGAAAGCCTCTTCCATCTACTGCAGGACACTTATTTAATCCTTCTTCTCAAGCATTCACTACATATATACTTGCTTTCACCAACACAGCCCACACAAACAGATATATATATATATATATATATATATATATATATATATATATATTTGTCTTCACCCACACACACACACACACACATATATACTTAGTCCTTAGACTTTAGATCGATATAATAGTTTTTCAAGATAAGAGTATCCCCATGATCATCATCATGTCCACCATATATTCCCTTTTCAGCAGCCTTTCCAAATTTATACACTATAAGAAGTTGAAATTCCCAACCGAAATAGCTAGGGCACTGTATTTTTTTTCATGTAATATAGAAATGATCAGCACATACACATATTATAACATGTATCAACATCTATAAACCGATTAAGGTGAAGAAGTTTTGGGACGTATATACCTCTGACTGTTCCTTTTGACATTTTTTCAATGCTTCAATATCTGCATAGTGAATCAAAAACTCAGTATATATATGTGTGTGTGTGTGTGTGTGTGATGATGATGAAAGGGAGGTGGAGAGAGAAAATGTGTGTGTGTGTGTGTGTGTTTACGTACCGTAGTGGAGAAGGCCATACAAGGTACTTCCGGCGACCACCAGCCCCATCTGCGTCGAGTAATTCCGTAAATGCTGCAACAACAGACCCAGTTTCGACATCTTCGAATTCCACACTCTCTCTCTCTCGCTCTGCTCTTTCTTTCTCTCTCTCTTTTCTTTTTAGCTGAGAAGCGTGGGTGGTTTGACGTACAGTACTACTAATTTATAGTAAGACATATAAGTCTTAATTAAATTCTTAATGTATTACTACTAATTATTAATAGACTAAAACGCAATGAAATACAAAATAAATAAACTGTGTGTAGTATTTATTTTCTAAGTAAAAAATAAATTGTAAATTTTCAAAGTAGAAATCGTTGATTTGGTGATTTGTAAATTAAATGAAAAAAAAAAAAAAAAAAAAAAAGCCCGTCAAACACTATCCCGTTTGTCTTATTATACCACCTTTATTCTCTCTCTACGAGAAAGAATAAAGGACAATCCGAGTGCTCTCTGTGCCATCGATTAAAGAACAATCGACGGATCATATTCACTTCACGCATTGGACGCGGATCTTCGTCCTCAGCCGTCCAATCACATCGAAAACCAACGAGCAAGATTAAACCCTCGATAGAATTCAAAATTCCGCAAATCTTCATCGATAAATACCACCACACCAACTCCAAAACCAAACGCATCCCAATTCGCGCCACTTCTTCTTCTTCTCAATTCGAAACCCTAGAATTGTCTATCGGTATCTGAAAATGTCTGGTCGTGGAAAGGGAGGGAAGGGTTTGGGCAAGGGAGGTGCGAAAAGGCACAGGAAGGTGTTGAGGGACAACATTCAGGGGATCACGAAGCCTGCGATTCGTAGACTTGCGAGAAGAGGTGGCGTGAAGAGGATTTCTGGGCTGATCTATGAGGAGACTCGTGGAGTTCTCAAAATTTTCCTGGAAAATGTGATTCGTGATGCTGTCACCTACACGGAGCACGCGAGGAGGAAGACGGTGACGGCCATGGATGTGGTTTATGCGCTGAAGAGGCAGGGAAGGACTCTCTATGGGTTTGGTGGGTAGTCTCTGTTTTGATCTTATCATTGTAGTAGCTCTGTTCATATTTCCTTTGAATTGCTCTGTTATTAGAGGTTTTAGTATTATTAGTATTTTGTAATGCACAATTTATATTTGAAGATGTAGATGCTCTATTTGGTTGGAAAATATTTTTTTCCTATTGAACTCAATTTATTTACTGGGATAATTAATTGAGGGAAAAGGCAAAGTAAGCTGTGGTTATGAAATTGATTCTTACTTCTAGTTTTAGGTTTCTCATTTTTTAAATGTAAAATGCCAGAAAATTGTGGTTGTTTTGAATTTTTTACTGGGTTAACATTTTCTCAGTAAACAAGCACACTCTGCTTTATGATCTTTGTTTACGAGCACTTATGACAACTGATCTGACCAGAAAACTATACTTAAATGTTGACTCCTCGCGAAATTCATTCTCAAGCATTTGTCAGGCTTTCGAAATGGTGCTAAAATTTGATTTTCAACTTGAAATGAGTATTACCAAAATGAATGAATTTTTAACATTATCACCCTCTTTTAAAATGAAATTGTGTACAAAGTTTAATCAAAATCCCTTCCCACTCAAATGGTAGATTTGGTGCTTCAATCTTTAACATTTTGGTATTCTCTCGTCAAAATAGTGAAGTTCAAACTTTTATTTTTCTCTATATATCAGAAAGGTTTTCTAATTCAGTCAGTAACAATTGCTAAAGGGAATTGAGTAACATAACATAAGAGTGTTTGGAGCTAGCATGCATCACAAACTGTAAAACTAAAACAATTATTAAGTGTTCATCCTCCTCTCCTATTCAGATCACTTCTTGTCTGGCACCTCAGCAGCTTCATTGACTTTCACTGCAACTTCCTTGGCTTTCACTGCTTCTTCATTGGCTTTCACTGCAGCTTCATTGGTTTTCGCTGCAGGGTCACCTACAAAGAAACATGAGAATTTTTTTTAAAATTATTCACATTACGAAATCAAGACAGTGCAAATCTTTGAACATCCAAAACCTTTCATATGCTCAGAGAAACAGAGAAAGAGGAAAGGAAGGTCTACGTAACAAAAATGGCAAGTTTAAATTTTTCTATATTTCTATTCATTGAGAATTAATGACACGGATAATAATATGATCTATACCAAAAACACCAACAGTACCATTCCAAAATTCCATCTCAACACTAAAATAACCCAGGTAAAAATCTACACCATCAAATTAAAGCAAAAGCAAATACTCACCAAATTCTTCCTTCATGACCTTAGAACCCAACCCCATAAGAATCTGCAGGTAGAAGAATGTTGGTTAGAATTGATGTCAATTTACATTGTTTGAAAGACTTTACAATGTGGATTTGGTTCTACCTGAAATACACAGATGGAGTTTAAAGCGCATAAATTAATTCAACACTTCTCAACTCAACAAACTACTACTACTACTACAGACATCCGAATTTCACCATTTTCTGCAGAATCTAGAACCATTATTCCATTGGTTATTAATTACAAAAAAATTAATTGAAAGAAATTACTATTTCTTGTTAATTCTTCATGCAGGGGCTACAGGAGGTTGCGGGAAATATAGGCCACTGACCTATATTAGAAATTACTACATTTCAGCTAGAAAGAAACACACCATTGACATCAAAATGAAGGTGCCAAAGCAATTGGCAGTTCAGCAAAATCAAAACAAGGTGTTACACCGCCAAGCATTCTATTTGGCATGCATGTTGCACATTTAAGTGTGACGCCTACTACTTAATTATAAGAAAGGTGTCCAAAATGAAAATTAGGGACAGACAACTACATAAAATTGTCAATTGCTGATCAACTAGTTATATATGCTGATCAAAATGAAGGTGCCAAAGCAATTGGCAGTGTTATAATTTGAACATGGCCTCAGCAAACAACAAAATTTAATGAAAACATGGTTTCCCTTAACTTTCAATAATCACCATGCATGTCCTGGAGAGTCAAGAGACAATACATAAATCATAAATGGACTAAAATACAAAAAAAAATTAAAATTTTCCAAGTAAAGTGCATACATGATAATATTTGTATAAACAAAGAAGCCTTGTGGTTCTTTCACTTTCAATTTGTCATCATGTATATGAGAACAAGCATTATAATTGAGGTTCCTTGAAGCCATTCACTACCCTGAAATATTTGATTTCAGGGTAGGGAGGCAAATCACTCTAGATTGAGTAGAAACAATATCTAAACACTTTTCAACTCAACAATCAGCTAAAGACATTCTAATTTCACCAATTCTGCACAATCTAGGACCATTCTTCCATTGGTCATAAATTATCAAAACTTTACTTGAAAAAAGTACTCCATTTCTTGTTAATTTTCCCATGCAGCTAGGATTACAAGAGGTTGTGGGATATGTACACTGAGGTATATTAGAAATTTAGAACTGTAAATATACATAAAAGAAGTGGCACGTACTACATTTCAGATAGAAAGAACACCATTGACATCAAAGTGATGGTGCAAAGCAATTGGCAGTTAAGCGCGCAGCAATCAAATTAAACAAGGTGTTATAGGCTATATATATGAATCTCCAAGCATTGTAGTTGGCATGTTGCACATTTAATTCAGTGTAACAACAACTAGTAAATCATAAGAAAGTTGTCCAAAATCAAAATTTGAGAGATTGGTTGATTTCAGATCATCAAACTGATTACAATTTGAAAATGGCTCCATCAAACAACTAAATCTAATGAAATCAGACAGTTTAGAATCGTCGCAATTTTCATGCAATGAACTAAAATTCACTGGAAATCATGAACAATATCGACTTCTTCTACTCCTATTCAATGAACACTCCTGTCAGATGGAATTTGGGTGCAATTCTAGTTGTGAAATATTTACCCAAAAAAAAAATTGCTAGTTGTGAAATGAATAAACATGCAACTCATAGCAGCACAAGCAGTATCAATATATCATGTATATGTATATGAATGTATGATGAGCATGAATTGGACAATATATAAGAAAAGAGTACTTACCCACTGATACACTCACATAATCATCAGAAACGGTACTATTGATTTCAAACACTAAATGCAGGAAATATTCAGAATTAATATATAGAAATGACGAGCTTATATAAAGCACATACATATTATGTGTGTGTCAGTGTGTGATGAGCATGAATGGGACGATAACAAAAGAGTACGTTCCACACTGTTACACTCGCATCACCAATAGAAATCATACTACAGAGATTTCAAACACTAAATGCAGAGAATATTCAGAATATATAGAATTGATCAGCATATAAACATACACACACACATATATACGATGAGCTTGAATCGGACGATGACGAAAAATTTCCACACCGATACACTCACATCACCAACAGAAACCATACGACAGATTTCAAACACTAAATGCAGTGAATATTCAGAACATATAGAAATCATCAGCATATATAAAGCACATACATATTATAACATATATATATACGTACATGTATGTATGTATCATGAACATTGATCTGACGATGACAGAAGATATAGTTTCACACTCATACACTCGCATCATCAGAAACAATATTACAGATCACAAACACTAAAAATGCAGATCAGAACATATAGAATAGAAATAAACAGCATATATAAAGCACATACATATATTATAACACATGTCTCAACATAAAATAATCCTGGTTCAACGGAAATATCGTGCTCGAGAACTAGCTAGGGTTGAAGATCATGAGTTGCGACGTACCTCTGAGTCTTCTCGCTGACGAATCTTCAAAGCCTTCAATTCTGCACATTTTTGAAGCGAAATTCGATTTATGTAAAGATATGGTTAAAGAGAGGAGAGAGAAAAGAGAGTGTGTGTGTGTGTGTGTTTTTACGTACCGCTGTGGAAGTGATGATACGTGTAACCTCCGGCGGACAAGAGCACCATCTCTGTCCAGGAGAAAAAACGGACGTTCTGCAACAACAGACCCAGTTTCGACATCTTCGAATTCACTCACTCTCTCCCTCTGCTCTCTCTTTTTCCTTTTTAGCTGGGTAGCCTTGGTGGTTTATACGTACAGTACTACGGAGTAATTTATAGTAAGAATTATTAAAATATAAATTAAATTATTCTAAAACGCAAATAAATACAAAATAAATAAACTGTGTATTTACTTTCAAATAAGATATAAATTTTAACTTTTATTTTTAACTAGTAATGGTTAATTATAGTAATTTAAATGAAAACAAAAAAACAAAAAAAGAATTTATGGCTCCTAATAAAAAACCCGCCAAAAACTATCCGCCTTGTCTTATTACTTTATTCTGTCTCTACGGAAAAGCACAATCTGAAAGCTGTACCTGCCATCGATTAAAGAACAATCGACGGATTGTATTCACTTGACGCATTCGACGCGGATTGTCATTCTCAGCCGTCCAATGACTTCAAAAACCAACGACCACGATTAAACCCTCGGTAGAATTCAAAATCCCCAAATCTCCATCGAATATCCATAAATACCAACCCAAACAGACACCGTTTCCGTCAATTCATCTTCTCAATTTGAAACCCTAGAAAGCATATTATTACTGCTCGCGATCTGAAAATGTCTGGCCGTGGAAAGGGAGGTAAGGGTTTGGGGAAGGGAGGCGCGAAGAGGCACAGGAAGGTGTTGAGGGACAACATTCAGGGGATCACAAAGCCTGCGATTCGGAGACTGGCGAGAAGAGGTGGCGTGAAGAGGATTTCTGGGTTGATCTATGAGGAGACTCGTGGAGTTCTCAAGATTTTCTTGGAAAATGTGATTCGTGACGCTGTGACCTACACGGAGCACGCGAGGAGGAAGACGGTGACGGCCATGGATGTGGTCTATGCCCTCAAGAGGCAGGGAAGGACCCTCTATGGGTTTGGTGGTTAGACTCTGTTTTAGGGCTTTTGATCTGTAATTGTAGCTCTGTCTATCTCTCCTCTGAATTGTTCTGTTATTAGAGGTTTTAGTGTTTTGTAACTCACAATTTATATTTGAAGCTATATATTTTCTATTTTGTTGCAAATAGCAGTTCGAGTTTTGGATGCAAAAGGAAATTCATTCTTAATTGCTACTGATATTTGATTCTGTGATAAATTTAGCATGTTGTAGTATCAGATTAGTATTGTTAGGGATCAAAATGGTCTGGTTTGCGTCTTTGGTGTTTGAATATTTTTGAAATTGAACCCTCCTGATATTTAGTTTGGAAATCCTATGAAATTTTAATATTGTTGGATTAAAAATCAAAGCTCAAAGAGTTCAATCATGTTGTTTCGGACAATCTAGTTGAACCAACTTACCAGTTCATTCACCCCTCTGATATTCATGCTCAAACATTTTGTAAAAAATGATTAGTAGAAATTTGATTTTGCATCTTGAAAACATGTGCTTTGTTCATTAAGTTGCAATTAAACAAAATTTCAAAATATGTCCAAAACAACTTTAAACATTTCGAGCGCAATTAATAATTACTAAACGGGTTTGGGGGCAGGTTTTTGGGTGAACCAGGATAAATTATTGTAAATTTGACAAGTAACATGGTATACAAAATCAAGACTAATAATGCACCACATCATTTCGTCATAAAAAAAATACTTGATACCTAACATATTTTGGAAAACAAATTTAAAGGCCGATGACTTTTGTCACCACCCCTCTCCCTCTCCCTGTGTAGATCAAATTACTTGTGCACAAGTTATTCAATCTAAATTGAATCCAATGTCTGACTCATATAGACAAACATGTATAATAATAATAGTACGGAAAGTGGGAACTTGAATTTTGATTGTAGATATCAATTTCCTTTCTTTCCTCACTATCCTTTCTGAAATTTTATTTTATTTTATTCGAAATTTTTGGTCCACGAGTTCTTTAATCTAAAAATTTAATATATTATATATACACAAACATGTATAATAGAATAAAATTTTGCATGAAAAATAAGAACTTTGAATGATGAGAGTGTTGTGAATTACAAGCAAGATCAGGCTGATAATATCGGTGGTAAGATTGTGACCTCCAGCGATCAAAATGTGATGAATTCAGCCAATGAATTTGAGAAGTAGAGGCACGTAACAAAGGCTTGTTAGATGTCGTTTCTTTCTATTACCTTAAAACAATGTCACTTTTATAATTTAAGTTAATTTTTGATGTCTTGCAATATAAGCCCTAGATATCATTAAAGTACCACATGTTAACGTCTATCTAATTCAACTTGTGATAATGTAAAGCTTTTTTAACTTAGAAGATTTAAGTCCGTTTTTGGGTTGGGTATATTTTGCCACCCCCATACGTAAGCTGAAAAAAACCTTAAACATTTCGAGCACAATTACTTGGGTGTCCAATAATGGTTAGGACTTCTCATTTATTTTGTATTAGATTTATTATTATTATTTTGTATAATAGTTCATAAAATATGATAGAAAAATAAGTGTATTTGTAAAAGTAAAGTTATATTTAGAGCTGAAAATGAACCGAGTCGAGCCGAGCCGAGCTGAACCTTAGGTTGCTCGAGCTCGTTTATTTATAGTTTGGCTCTGGCTCAGTTCGGACTCGTGACGAGCTCAAAAAACTGAGCTCGGGCTCGTCATGGTGTTAAAAAGCTCGAGCTCGGCTTGTGCTTGGCTCATTTAAGAAAATAAATTAAATTTATAATCAAAATTTATTGAACGAGCTCGCCAGCTCGTTTAATAAATTATTAGATATTTATCTTATACTTAAATAAATTAATGAATTTTATTAAAAAATAAAAATAAATATAAACGAGCCCTATATCGAGCCTACGGTTCATGAACATAAACGAGCTTGCATGAGCTTATGTTCAGGAACATAAACGGGCCTACACGAGCTCATATTCACGAGCCTACACGAACCGAGCCCAGCATTACTTAAGATCGGCTCGTTTACTAAATGAGTTTAGAAATCGAGCTTGGGCTCGGTCATTTATTTAATGAACGAGTCTAAGCCGAGCCCGAACTGTTCATGAACAGCTCGGTTCATTTGCAGCCCTAGTTATAGTTTGTTTTTCTTATTTAATAATAGAAAAATACGAATAAGGATATATTCAGGTATAATTGTTTTTTTGTTTAAAAATTCAAAAGATTATAAGTATGGTGTTATGTAAAGAGGTTTTTTTTTTTTTTTTTTTTTTCTTGATGTAAAGAAATGGATGATTCAAGTTTATTGAAGAGTTTGATGAAAGATTCTAATTTATTGAAGAGTTTAGAAAAAATAGATAGTTTATTGAAGCATATTTTAGAAGATTGAAGAATTCAAATAAAACTAAATCTTTAACATGGATGGACTCATCAGTGGAAGGATGCCTATAAATAGGAGTCATGATGGCAATAATTTCCCAACACAATATTAGTAGGTGACATTTGAAAACAATTCAAGTAATTTACTATCTAGACACTTGATTGTATTTTGGGTGTTGTGGCAGTATGAGTTCATGATAACAAAATCAAATAAACTAGGAGAAGAAGTAAGACCAAACCCAAAACCAAAGATTGAAGAATTCAAATAAGGGAAAGATGGCTATATATAGGAGTCACAATGATAATATCCGTAAACAATATTAGTAGGTGAGATTTGAAAACAATTCACGTTCTATTGGCGAATTTATTATCGTGAACAATGCTTCTAAGATCATACAATAATAGACAATCGTCAACAATGCTTCTAAAATCATACAATAATAGACCTCCGTGGGTTCTTTTTGTGGCGGCATCAAGGTTGTAAACTTTGAATGAATCAATTTTCTCAGCAGCCAAACTCACAACTTATGCAACATTCCTATCCTACATTCTGATTTTAGTTATTCCACGAAGTCTATTTTTGAATGTCAATTGAAATTTTGGATTCGCTAAAACTGTCTCAATAGTACAATGAAATTTATGTCTTGTAGAGTAGAAAAAACTTTAATGAGTGATATGATAGCACCAGTTATAAAACTCACCGAAATTATATATCACTAACCAACATTAGATAAACTATTATCTTTGCAAATTAATTCCCTCAATCCACAAATTAATTAAATTGGCTTACTAGCCTTTTTAAGTTTTAAGTAATATATATCTATTTCCTCCAAACCATAAACACAATAACCATAGATGTATATTTGTTCATCTAATTTTTATATCAATATATTTATGATTTGACAACTCCTCTATATCTCCATAAGTATGTTTTTGTCCATACTATTTAAATGACTGTTTGTTTAAGCCTTCACAATTCGTTCATGCCTCCAGGAGTATGTTTTGGTCCATATTATAATTTAACAATTCAATCATGTAATCAATGTATGTATTTTGTGTTGGGAAACGTGCTAGTTTTAAAAATTTTCGAGGAATTTTCATTCACAGATCTTGATTCATCACATAGAAATAAATTTTATGCAAAAATAAAACTTGATGTATCATTCAATTAACAGATTGAATACTTACATCAAAGGTCTGAGCAAACCTTTAAATCTTTTCTCTAAAGTGAATGTTCTCACTTATTGTAAATCCCTTAGTAAGATGCCTTCTCCTTGGATCTCCATCTTCTTGGTAATTGTTTTGCCTTTAGGAATCACTCATAAGCCTCCATGAATGACCTTGGAAAACTAGGCTTGTGGGAGCCTCCATTAGATGAGAACATTAACCCTAATTTTCTAGAGGGAGAAAATATATTCCCTTTTTCCTTGTAGCAAAAATCATAAATCATGTATATATATAGGCAACATAAAGATAAAGAAAAGAAAACAATAAATCCTTCTCAATCTCTAATTCACATGTCTCAAATCTAATAGGATTCCAATATCAAGTTGGGTTATGAGTGAGAATCATTTGGGCTTATTATTTTTGTTTGACAAAAATAATAATTTAGATAAATAAATATATAATAAATCATTTTGTCTAAAAACACACGAAGACCTTCGAATTTAGTTTGTGATCAACCATAATCAATACAAAATAAATACAAGTAGTAATGATGCAAATATTGAAAATATAACCCTCTAACTATTAATTACATAATTACCCAAAGTGCTGGTCTAAGGACTCCGAAGATTCCGCCGAACACATCAAAGTAATTACTAATTAATAAAAGAGTCTATAGTTCTCTCATGCTTAAGAGTCAAATGGTATGACGGTGATAGGGAGCAATTGCATACGACGGCTCTCGCAATATATCTCAACCTAACGCGGATCCAGTTCAAGTCTTAATTAATTATAAGTCCATCCATAATTACCGACTATGAACAATTTATGATTACTATTTATATTCATGTATTAATCGCCATCACATACATATATAAATATCTCTTGTAATCAAGTGGACACTATCAATTTTATAATGAATCAAAACATAATACATTGAATTCACCAATTGTATAAAGTATAAATATTTCAAAACATCAGGAACATATGTCACTATAATCCAAATAGGAATTTGCTATGCCAGGGCATATAAATCCCAACAGCTCCCACTTGCCCTCATAGCCAATTCAAATTGCATCTAACTCCAATGTTATCCAGATGACGATCAAAATTATTAATCAATGACACATTTGTCAATGGATCAACAAAGTTATGTTCCAATGCAATGTTCTAGCCACGAGTACGTTTTCTTGCCGGACAATATCATGTATAATATGATACTTCCTTTCAGTGTACCTTGTTCGTCTATGGAACCTTGGGTCATTGGTTTGGACTACTTCTGCACTATTGTCGCAATATAGCTCGATAGGCAGGCTAGTAAGCTCCACAACCTTTAAATTAGTGAGATCAAACCAAAAGGCTTTCTTTGCTGCCTTTAAGGCTGCAATGTACTCTACCTTCAGGTTTGAGTCAGCAGTTGAAATCTGCTTAACAATCTACTAACTAATTTTCCTTCCATTGAGTGAACATACACCATGTCATGGACCTTATATAACTGATTTAAAATCAGAACTATCATACCTGACTGGAACTACATCATCACATTCATAAATGAGTATGAGATCATTGGTTCTCCTAAGGTACTTTGTGATATTTTTCACAACAG